ACCACCACTGTAAATGGACTCAATTCACCAATTAAAAGAAATAGACTGGCAGAGTGGATTACGAAACAAAATCCAACAATATGCTGAATACAAGAAACACATTCAACTGACAAAGAAATTTATAGGATGAAAGTCAAAGGATTGAAAATAATACTATATGCTCCAGGATCTCAGGAAAAAAAGCAGGGGTAGCTATTCTGTTCTCAGACAATCTGAACTTCAAACCAAGAATGATCAAACAAAATAAAGATGGTCACTATATACTGCCTAGGGGAAAAATTCAAGAGGAAGAAATAGTCATAAATACGTATGCATTTAACATGGGAGCCCCAACTATCTGACAAATTTTAAAGAACATGAAAAATCTAATAATCAATATCATAATCTTAACAGGGGACCTTAACAACCCTTAGCAAAGAGATAGAAGAACTGAACCAAACCTTTGAAAAAAATGGACTTAGTAAACATATATAGAGTGTTCCACAAAACCACATCTGAATACATGTTCTTTTCAGCTGTACATGGGACGTTTTCTAAAATAGACCACATAGACACTTAAGTATATGCAAGAAAACAAAAATTATCCCATGCATATTATTTGACCACAGTGCAATGAAATTGGAAATTAACAACAAAAGAAAAACCCCATAAATGCATGGAAATTAAATAACACCCTCTTCAGAAACCAATGTGTTACAGATGAAATTAAAGAAGAAATTAAACAATATCTACAACCCAATGAAAAGTAAAACACAACTTACCGAAATTTGTGGTATGCAATGACAGCAGTTCTCACGGGAAAATTTATAGTGGTGAACTTACACATTAGGAAAATAGAGTGAGAACAAATAAATACCCTAATGCTGCACCTCAAGCTTCTAGAAAAAGAATAAACCAAGCCAAAACATAGGAGAAAATTATAAAGATTAGAGTAGAAATTAATGCAATTGAGACCAAAAAAATACAAAGAATTAATGAATCAAAAAGCTGGATCTTTGAAAGACTAAATAAAATTGATAAACCGCTAGCCAACCTCCTCAAAAGAGGAAAGAAAGACTCAAATTCAAGCGATAAGGAATGAAAAGGGAGAAATTACTACAGGTGTGTGGAAATTCAGAAGATCATCAATAGCTATTTCAAAAATCTTTACTTTCACAGTATCAAACACACAGAAGAAATGGACAGATTCCTAGATAGGTACAAATTGCCAAAACTGAATCAAGAAGATACAAAGACTCTAAATAACCCAACAGCAGCCAAAGAAATTGAAAATGTAATTAAAAAGAAAAAAAAGTTAACAATAAAGAAAAGCCCAGGTCCTGATGGATTTACAGCTGAATTCTACAGGAAATTTAGATAAGATTTAATCCCAATATACCTCAAACTCTTCAATGAAATTGAAAAGGAAGCAATACTCCCAAAGTTATTCCTGGAGGCAAGTATTATACCAACCAAAAAAAGAAAACTACATTCCAATATCCCTCATAAACATAGATGCAAAAATCCTCAATAAAATACTAGTATGGGCTATTGAGTTAACACAATAGAATAAGCATCGGCTGGGCAAGCACAGGGTCGTGAATTCAATCACAGTACTAATAAAAAAAATAAAATACTAGCAAACAGAATATAACAAATCTTCAAGAAGATTATATACCACGACCAGGTAAAATTCATCCCAGGGATGCAAGGATGGTTCAACATACTCAAATCTATAAATGTAATACACTATACCAAACAGCCAAAAGCAAAATCCACATGATCATCTCAATTGATGCAGAAAAGGCTTTTGACAAAGTCCAACACTCACTCATGATCAAAGCTCTACAGAAAACTGGAATAGATGACCTAAACCTCAACCTCATAAAAGCCATCTATGACAAACCAACAGCCAACATAACTCTAAATTTAGAAAAACTGAAAGCCTTTACTCTCAAATCAGGTACAAAACAAGGATATCCTCTATCACCACTCCTATTCAATATAGTTCTGGAATCACTAGCTAAAGCCATTAGACAAGAGAGAGAACTAAGAGGAATAAGAAAAGGTAAAGAAGAAGTTAACTGTCATTATTTACAGATGACATGATACAGTACTTGAAAGACAAAAAAAAAAAAAAAACTCCACCATAAAGCTCTTAGAATTAATAAACAAATTCAGTAGCATAGCAAGATACAAAGTCAACACCCAAAAATCAAATAGCACTCCTCTACACAGATAACAAACCCACTGAGAGAGATTTTAGAGAAACAATACCCTTCACAATGACATCCCCCTGGGGGCCTGCCCATTAGCTCAGGTGTTTAAGTTCCTGCTGAAATGAAGCAATCAGGCTCAGGATGCTGTGGTTCCATCCCCTCAACCTCAAGCCAAACCAGACCTGCAATGAAGGCATCCTGAGTGGCAAAAAAAAAAAAAAAATCCTTCACAATAATATCCCCCAAAAATGAAATACTTAGGAATTAATCTAACAAAGGCAGTAAAAGATCTATACAACAAAAATTACAACCTCTAAAAAAGATATTAAAGAGGATTTCAGAAAACGAAAAGATAATCCTTGCTCCTGGATAGGAAAAACCAATATTGTGAAAATGGCCATATTCCCAAAATGGTCATACAGATTTAATGCAATCCCTATCAAAATACCATCAACATACCTCACAGATCTAAAGAAAACATTCTTAAAATTTATTTGAAACCAGAAAAGATCTAGAATAGCAAAGACAATATTAGGGACCAAAGGCAAGGCAGGAGGTATTACAATCCTTGACTTGAAATTATACTACAAAGCTACTGTGATAAAATTAGCATGGAACTGGCAAAAAAACAGACCCAAGAATCAATGGAACAGATTAGAAGATGCAAATACAACGACAAACACACTTACTCATCTTATCTTTGACAATGGGTCAAACATGTTCACTGAAAGAAAGATAGCCTGTTTAACAAAGGGTGCTGGGGACAGCCAGCTAGCTCAGCAGATTAAAGCACCTGCTTAGGTGAGATGAATATGCATTTCTCAGAGGAATAAATACAAGTGGCAAATAAATACATGAAAAAATGTTCCACAGCACGGGCCATGTGAAAAATGAAAATTAAAACAACACTGAGATACCATCTCCTCTGAGAAACAATGGCTATGATAAACAAATCAACTATACTCTCTTTAAATAAAACAAAAAAAGATATGGAAAAAAATTAAGATTTCTTGAAAGTAAGCACCAATATTTAATTATTTCCCCAATCTTGCATAACTATATCCATTAATCTGAGCAACAAATTTGATGATAAATGCCGGAGAGATGGCTCAGTTGAATAAGTGCTTGCCTGACAAGCGCAAGGGCCTGAGTTCAATCCCCAGTTCCACAAAAAAAAAAGAGAGAGAGAGAGAGACTTAAAAATAGGGGCTGGGGAGATGGCTCAGTGGAATAAGTGCTTCCCTGGCAAGCGCAAGGGCCTGAGTTTAATCCCTGGTTCCACAAAAAAAAAAAAAAAAAAAAAAAAAAAAAAAAAAAAAAAAAAAAAAAAAAAAAAAAAAAAAAAAAAAAAAAATTGATGTTAAAAATTAGATAATATAACAATCATTGTTAATTACCTATTCCTGTTTTGAAAATCTATAACATGTATTATTGTATGTTACTCTATTTCTTTTCTTTCTGTTTGTTTTTGCTTCTGTTTGTACTCTTCAAAATAAAATAATTTTTTTTAAAAAACAAGAAAATAGAAAAAATTAATGTTTCTTGAAAGGAAGTACTAGTAATTATTTGTCCAATCTTGCATAACTTTTCTGTTAATCTGAGCAACAGATGTGATGATAAAAATAGATAATATAATAACCATTGTTAGTTATTCTTGGTTCGAAAATCTGTAACATATGAACTTCGATATATTGCTCTGTTTCTGTCTTCATTTCTACTATTTGTTTTTGCTTTTGTTTTTACTCTTCAAAATAAAATAAAAGGAAAATAAGTAAATAAATTTTATGAAAACAATAACCTGTTAACTGTCCTTGAACTTTCAATAATAATAAGAAAGAGATACTGCAAAAATAAAGGAAGACATAACCAATGTCTGGTTAATGACGCATTCTTAACAAAGTGAAATACAAACAGCACAGTCTTTTAAATCAAGAGATAGAGACTGGGGCTGATATCTATACTATGTCTTCATATGTTTTCCTATGTCTAATAGATTTTTTCTCCTAGTCATAAAACTTTTACATTAATCTCTATATACATATATTGAAAGGATTTATAAACTAATAGCCAAAATACTAGTTTTAAAATTAGTACTTTACTTGACTATTAACAATAAAATACCTTGGGGCCGGGGAGATAGCTCAGTAGAATAAGCACTTGTCAGTCAAGCACAAGGGCCTGAGTTCAATCCCCGGTTCCACCAAGAAAAAAAAAAAAAAAATACCTTCAAGCAACCACAACTCTCACATTTTGAGAACTGATAGAAGTACCTTCTTTATTGAAGAAATACACAGAGCATAATTTAAACCATTTTGTAAAACTTAAAATTTCATCATTTCACTAAAATAAAAAGACAATGATAAAAATACATATATTTGTCTATTCATTTCTGCAACTAGGCTGTAGCTCAATAATAAGAGTGATTGCTGCAATTGTACAAGGCCTAGATTTAATTCCAAGTGCCACAAAAAAAAAGGCTCGGTTAGAAGTCACTTCATCATCTACCCAAATCCATAGTTCTAAAAATATACTCAAACTATTTTAAAAGAATAAACACAGTGAGAATAAAGAATAGAAAGAAATCTATAGTCTGAATAGAGTATAAGTCAATGTAAATCAGTATATATTATTGAATATATACTTAAATTGAAAGTACTAGTATGCGATGAACATTATAATAATCTTTGAAACTTAGTCATTAATATCTAAATAATATTTAAGTACAGACAATTCAAATTAACAAATTATACAGGCATTTACCTTCCTACAACTGACTGTAAGTTTATTAAATAAAATACTCACCTAAGTACAGCTATTAAAGGTGCATATATTGAATCTCCATCATACACATACATATGATCCCAGCTACATTCTGTAGCAAAATGATTGAATCTTAATCTTAACACTGCATTTGGACTGAAAAAAATTAAAATATATTTTAATTAGCATATAACATACAAAACACAGTCTGAAGAACTTTTAGACAGTGTTTTTCAAAAATCGATTTTATATGTAATTTTTCTATAAATCCTTAAAACACCAGACTAAAAGATTAATAACCCATCACACATGACTTATAAAAATGGCGTGCAACTTTCAAAGTCTATTAATTAACCACTAAGAAGAATATATGCAGTGTATTATTTGTTGAAACTGTACTTCCGATTTGATTTGAAACTGTCTCATTGCTATCTGTTTATCAATAAAACTTTGAAAAAAAAAAAACAAAGTCTATTAACAGGCCATTCACATGTATCATCATTTTCCAAAAATTTTATAAACAGAAAATGTTCTATGTCTTTACTGAGATAGAGGTCACATAGGTTATATGCATAACTAAAACCTTCTTGAACTGTTTACAAAAATGGGTGCATTCCATTGTAACAAACTACAGATAAATAAAGTTTAAAATACAACATTCAAGAAACACTTATTCTCATTTCTACAAACGCTTTAAATGGAGGCACTAAGTTCTTCAACTTTAATTAAAATGTCTTAATGTGATATATTATCTAACAACTGAGACTACAGGTACACACAGAGAAGTAACAGCTTTCCCAAATAAGCAATTTACAAATTGAAATTTAATTTAAAAAGTATTCATAACAATTCATTTACACATAATATAAATAGGCAAATTCAGTTTCAAATCCTAATTATATAAACACCCTAAAAGGATAATTAACTCTTTCTTTTTCAAAATGTTCTATTTAACCCTTAGAGCCAAAATGCTGAATAGATAAATCAATGGCTTAAATTGACATAGAATATTATTACAGAGTTTTCAAATTCCACATGATATTTTCAAAAACCCAACATATGCTTATTTAATACCATAATAACATAATTCAAAAATAAAATACATAAATTAAGCTATTATCACAAGCTGAAGAGTTACTGTAATTTATGTAAATGTGATGCATAGAAGTTATAAACCCCTCAAAGTTATATTATGAATATTTTCCAATAATAAACAATTAAATAAACTATATAAAGTCATTATATTTATTAATATCTTAGCATTAAAATGGTTATCTTTATAATTATACCATAAAATTAATTCAAGTTAAACTGTATACTTACTAGCCTTCAATTAGCCATGTACATTTAGTTTTATACTTATAGTTAATTGGACCATCTGTCAAATATCCAGAAGGTTCTGTTAATCTAGAAAAGAAGAATCATGAAAGTAATTACCTTAAAGTAACTTAAAGATACAGAGTATGAGAAATTTTTTTTAAATCATTAAGCCAAAGAAATGATAAATAGTAATTTCCAAAATGAAGGACACATTTACAACCCCAAAGTTTGAAATTGCCCTATTTTTCTCTAAAGTAAAAGAAACTTACTTTAGATTTATTTACATACCATGGTCATTTCAATCTACACAATTGAAAAAGCCACTGAAAAAGTGAACATTGTACTGAAAACTTCAAGATTGATGCAAAGTAGATTAAGCTAAACTTTATTTGCACAAAAATTAGGTTGAGGGGCTGGGGAGATGGCTCAATAGGATAAGCGCTTGACTGGCAAATGCAAGGATCTGAGTTCAATCCCTGGTTCCGCCAAAAAAAAAAAAAAAAAAAAAAAATTAGGTTGAGGCCAAAGAAAGATCAAATGCATTTGAAAGATGCAGATCTATGAAATGATGTACATCCCATTTTGAGAAGATACATTGTTAGTTATATACATGTTTTCTATTTATCAGAATATTTAAGTAGCTGCTACCATTAGACTTCACAGAGTTGTTACCAATTTTTATTATCATTTTTTCTATCGTCTAATCTACATTTAGACCAGGAATTTAACCAATTTTAAAATGGTAAATCAAAAGGTTTTAATATTTTCAGTTTTATCTATTAGGAAAAAATTTTTAAATTTCCCTCAGATTTTCATAATCGTACAATACTTAAAGAGTTGAAATCTACTTCATTTTGTTCTTAACTACAGCCATTTTATCAGCAAAAGACCACGTTAGTTAAAATATCCCTCTACTTAGCATGTACATATAATATGTATATGTAAATGTACACACAAGCATTTCATAGATAATTGGTTGTTATGTTTGTATGTAATTATATACATATATATAGGAATATTAGAATAATTAACTACTTTTAGGTAAAATAAATTTTCTCTATAGAGCATTAAAAATATTACAGAAAATTTCATTACCTAAATCAGGGTCAACAGAAAAATCAGTCCATGTTAATGTTACTTGTAAGTCTTTCATATTCCCTGCAAGTAACTTTGGTAGTAAAGAACTAAGTTATGCTTGGAAAAAATTTCTAAGACCAACACAAATACCTAAATTCTCAAATTCATGTAATGAAAAAATGAGCATTTTCTACATGTCAGGTAAGAACATAGCTTTCTACCTCATTTAAACACCTCAAAAATTGTATGAGATGATAATTGATAAATCCTACAGTACAGATAGAAAAAACTGAATAAATAATAAGTTCATTTTCTTGTCCCGATATTTCACTTTCAATAATACTAGATAAGGTATTTCAGAGAAACTCCTCATTCTTTAGCTAAACAATTTTTAAAACTTAAAGCCATCTTTTCAGTAACAAAATGAGGGGGCCAGGGAGATGGCTCAGTGGAGTAAGCACTTCCCTGACAAGCGCAAGGGTCTGAGTTCAATCCCCGGTTCCAAAAAAAAAAAAAAATCAGTAACAAAATGATAAAATCTATCAAGATGGATCCAGAAGTTGCAAATTATTTAAGAGAAGCCAGGCATTGAGAGCTACTTTATCTCTGTAGAGATATGCCTATTTAAAAGAAACTGCCCAAAGAAAACTATTGCTAACCTTAAGGAGAGAAGAGGACAAAAGATAGTACCAGATACCTACAGTACACAGAGGCCAGCAGCATCCAGCCACCACAACTTCCCCCAACACTTCTCAGGCAATTCTGAAGCAAAGTACATACCTACAGTGAGACACCTGCCCATGAGCAGCTTTCTTCAGGATTTTATAAAACATTTTCATGGCAAGTTTCAGAAGTCAGATGTTGAACAAGTTCTATGAATGTAGGCTGAACGTATGTTTTCTGCCATTCATTAAACTACAGGCATGCCCTTCCAACAAAGTCTGGGTCTCAGGCACATAAAAGAAGGGGCTCTTAGATTCTTTATCTCAGGCATACTTATATCTATTATTTCTATATTCTCTGAATTTCCCTTATTTTTTAGTACCCAATTTCACATTACTTAAATTTCTGTCACAGAAAATGCTGATTTACATTAAACTTTTCCTGTTAAAATCACAATTTTCTTTCCTAATTGGACCCAGACCAAACACATTAAGGTTACATAAAGTAACCTCACAGTAATATACTACTTTGCATTCCACAGAATGGCTAAAATTAAAATACTGACATCACACAGCAGTAAGATGGAGAAAAAGAGTTCTCATAGGAATGCATCAGTCAACTACTCCAGAAAACAAATCGGCATTATCTTACATAACTGAAAATAGAAATCTGAGTGTAGCAGCTGATACTGTCATTATTACACTCATATCTTCTCAGTCTTTTTTCCATACATACATACACTCCAGTGTGACTTCCTAAGGCCAATAACTCTGTCCTGTTGAACTGCTCCCCTCTGCCTGATGAAATCCATGTTGCTTAGGCATGTAGTAAAAAGTATCTGAATCAGCATCTTCTTGGGGCAGCTCTTAGCCAAAAAAATAATTTTATCAAAGGAGTGTAAATACCTTTATCCTCTACACTTCTTTGCATGGGTAACACTGACACGCAGTTTTGCTCAGAACTTCCTTGTAGGATTAACCTCCAGTCACCCACAGTGTACCTGACTTGGTAATATACTTGTTGATTGACCTCTCTTTGGTAGATCAGTCTTCTCTTAATGTCCCAAAATCTCCCAAATATATTCTATGTGTTCAATTCTTGGGATTTGTTTCTGGTTGCTAGAGAGAACACTGACCAAGCTGAGATAGTACTAGGGAACATGTCTTCAGGATGGCATTCTAGGAGATGGATCACTACCGGCCAGATGGTAGCAAGGGCCACATTGAGGATGGTAAACAATACATTAATAATACATGGCATAAACAGCACAATTAGTAAGATTTTTACTTGTAGTGAAATGAAATGGGATACATGTAGAAGAGCATGCACCCACTAATACAGCAGGCTTATACAATATTTGTCTTAACATTTGAAAAATATAGAAGCAAAGATGAGTATAACAAGAGTGGAATTAGTTGGCTTGTACTAAAAATCACTGACATGCTAAAGGAAGAAAACTATCATGGACTCAATCTAGCCAGTTTGAGGTACCATATAATATGAAAGCCAAAGTTCTCTGTAATGTTTAAAGACATACAAATCTCCTGCAGCAAAGAGTAGATAAAAATGAAAAGAGGAAAAGGGCTAGTTATAAGAAGAGTTAAATAAGAAAAAAAAATTTAAATCTGACTAAAGATAGTGCTCAAAAAAGGAGAGTGCTCCCTCGGTAACTTTGATGCAATTCAGAAGCTCAAATTCCCTTCTCTTTTTGAACTCTGTATTTCAGAACAACTGTCTTTAAAATGTCAGCCCTGAAAATGAAAAAAAAAACAAAAAACAAAAAACAAATTTCCAGCTAAGTGTGGTGCACATGCCTATGATCCTAGCACCCAGGAGGCTGAAACAGGAGGATTTCAAGTTCCAGGGCAGCAGCCTAAACTACAAAGCAAGTTCAGTGCCAGCCTGGATTACAGCACAAGACTTTGTCAACAAATAAATAAAACGGCTACTTGCTCTTTAGCCACGGCAATAACTGTAACATCAGTATTAAACTAAACCAATTTAATCCCATGAGAGATGGTTACAACAATGCTTTGAAAAACCTTGCAATTAGTAGCAGCCTCATATATGGTTACTACACAAAAAATATAAATTAAAAATCCCCAAATGTATAGAAATTAAGCAACAGACTTCTAAGTACCAAAAACAAATAGAAAATATTTAATTGACTAATACTAAGATCACAACATACCTAAATATTTAACAAAACTAAACCAGAAATGAACTTATGTTGTATCTCTAAATATGAATATTAGAATCAATTATATAAGATTACAGCTCAAAAAGATAAAAAAGGGTAGGAATTCCTGCCGACTTCCGGGAACCCCCAGACCCAGTCCTAGCCCAGGTCCGGTGAGTGTGTGGAGAGCTTCCTGCTACCCTGCGCCGGCGGGA